TGTCCTGGATCTCACTCTGTAGACCAAGCTGGCCTCGAACTCACAGAGATCCACTGGCTCTGCCTCCTGAGTGCTGGGATTAAAGGCATGTGCCACCGCCAGCTAGCTCCAGGACTCTTTCCTGTAGAACCATCTTTCCATGCCCTGCCCCCCTACACCCACACAATCTCTTATTTATTTTTTTTTTTTTTAGAGATAGAGTTTCTCTGTATAACAGCCCTGGATATCCTAGAACTTGCTTTGTAGACCAGACTGGCCTCGAATTCACAGAGATCCACCTGCTTCTGCCTCCCTAGTGCTGGGATCAAAGGTGTGTACCACCATGTCCTGCCAAAACTTTAATCCTTAATGCAGAGATTAATCAAGAGAGCTAGACAACTTGAAATTTGGGCTACATAGATAGATGCTGGCAGGGCCTCAGAATGTGAGTGACCACCGATACATGCCAGCTGGGTCAGGTGGTCAGGGCAGGGGCTGTACTCTGGTCCCTTCACTCATCCAGCAGTGTGAGTGCCCGAAGTGACCTTGGCTGCCTCCTGGTCTGAAGAACCTCCACAGGCTACCTGCAGTAGTTTCTTTGGAGCTGATCCTATTTAGAGTGTGCCGAACTCCCTCGTACCCGGAATTTATCTGTCTCATCAAATCTGGGACATTTTCTGAATTTTCGCTTCAGACTGCTTTTCTGTAGGCCTGTCCTCCTTTCCTCCTTTCAGACTTTGCAATGCAGGCAGTGATCTTAGCTCTCTTGATGCTGTGCCCCCAGGCTTTGAAGCTTTGTTCGCCTCTCTGAAGTCCCCCTTTTTTTTTTTTTTTTTTTTTTTTTTTTGGTGGCACTGAGCCGTAACCCTAACCTGCTATTTGGGACTTTTCTCCCAATAATTCTAATACCTGGACTCTCACCAATGCTATTTGTCGATTGTCTTCTCTCTCCAGACCCTCCCACTCACTCCAGCACTTAGAATTCGAGCCATTTTTGTTGTTTATCTTGTATACTTTCATGACCTGCTGTGTCCTGGGAAGGACCCCAGAGGATGTTGACCTTTTGTGCAGCTGGCCCTCATTTTGGTTAGGTTTGGTCCATGGGTAATGTCCACCTCCCAAGCTGGTGCTCTCAGTACCCACTCTCTTTTGAAGCTTTTGCTGTGCTGTGGTGACACTTTCTCCACCGGTGTCCCTCAGTCTGGAAGTGATTCTGAGCCTTGGGTGAGCTGTGTGAAGAGCAGAGGGTCTCTCCTCTAGCCCTAGGGAGGCTGCCTGGATTCCCCACCTCCACATACTCTGGTCCCCAGAGGTTCTCTTGTGATTGCCCATTTAGATGCCAGGGCCTTTTCCCCACCTTTTAATGTTCTGTGCGTGCCAGGCAATTCCATATAACATGCTCAGAGCAAAGCATCTGGAGAAGAGAGGGGCCCTGCCATGCTGCTATGACCTACCAGGACTCAGTGCCGAATCCGCTGTCCACAAAGGTAAAAGATTCTGAGGCTCTTAGATCCATATACTGACACCCATGCTGACACCCATGTTGAGAAAAAGGGAGGAAATGAGGATTCCTGTTATACTCTAGATACAGTGGTTGTCAACCTTCCTAATGCTCTGACCTTCCCATACAGTACTTCATGTCGCGGTGACCCCCTGCCATGAAATTATTTCTTTGCTACTTCATAACTGTAATTCTACTACTGTTATGAATCATAATGTAAATATATGATATGTGACCCCAAAGGGGTTGCAACCCACAGGTTGAGAACCATGGGGTTAGAGCTTGTAGAAGAATGAGTTAAGTTTTTCTCAGGACTTTTAACTTGCCATTACCCACTGCAGTGCCCAGACTCTGCTAGCCTCTGGTCAAGGCCATAGGTACAATGAAGAGGCTCCCTATGGTACCAGTTGTCTGTGATCTGGTGTTCCCATCCAGCCACCACTGTGAGCATTCCAGTCCCCCCAGAGAAGTAGCTGTACATGTTCTATCCAGAGAGATGAGCTGTGGGAGATCTGGACTGAGGCGTGGGGCGGGGGGGGGGGGGGGGGGGGGGGGGGGGGGGGGGGGGGGGGGGGGAGGCTCAGTGATTGGCTCAGTGATTGCTATTGTGACTTGAGAAGCAATATCACTCCAGGTTCTAACTTGCAAGCACCAGCTACAAACTGCAGCCTCACCCAGCAAGCTCTTGTCGGCCGCTGAAAGGATGTCACTGGCCATATCCTGTTCCAGGAAACTCAGGATCCTAAGAGACGGTCAGGGTTTGGACAATGCATGCTGGTGGGCCCTCCTCGGCTCTCTGTGCCCAGTAGCTTCTGAATGTGCTGACAAGTAGACCCGAGGTGCTCTGGGGTAGCCAGTGGGCAGCATTCTGTGTGTCTGAAAAGGAGGCGGGTGAGTGGGGTCAGAATTCGAGAGGTGCAGCAGCCCACCTGTGCGATCGTAGTGCCTGTGCATACCGCTCATCAAAGCCAACCCTGTGATCCTGAGACCCCTTAACAAAATGTCTCCCAGCCGTAGACACCTGTGCTCACAAAATGAGCATGGCTTCGAAAAAGAGTGAATCCCGGCGCAGGCTCCAGCTCCTGCTCAGCTCCCAAGTACTGCCTTTGACCGCCAGCCACCTCCTCTTTGGCCAGTTACTGGTGTCTCAACATTCCAGTTTCCTTTCTTTTTTATTCTTTTTTGTTTGTTTGTTTGTTTTTTGTCAAAGGGGCATAATAGACTCAGAGGTGGTCGTGTATACAAGTCAAATGTATCCTGGAGTGATACCAAAACGTCTGTAGTGATGGTTCCATGGAACAGCTTTTTAACATGTTTGTAGTTTTCCTCTTTTTATTTTAATAGAAGACCCCCCCCCCCAAAAAAAAAAATCAGGCCAAGGCGTCCTTCTAGCTAAAAGGAAATTAGAGTTGCTTTAGAAACTATCCAAAGGCACAAATTAGTTAATAGTTTGTGCTCAAAACTGTCTTTATACTGGGCATAGAGGCCTGTACCTGTAATCTCCCCCACTCAGAGGTTGAGGCAGGGAGATCATGAGTTTGAGTGCAGAACACCGGTCGAGTGCATGTATGCATGCACGCACACACACACACACATACACACACACACACACACACACACAGAGAGAGAGAGAGAGAGAGAGAGAGAGAGAGAGAGAGAGAGAGAGAGATTTCACAGAAGGCTGAATGCCAGTATTAAGTGGGTTCTGGCTGCTTCATTCCCTACAGGTCAGGCACAGCATTTTGTCCAGCTGCCAACATACCAGCATACTGTTTATTCCTTTTTCCTGGTGACATGAAGGTCAGATTGGGGCCGTCCAATGCCTGATCTCTTTTCCTCACTCAATTTGCCTAGTATTGCCTGACCAGGCCCAGGAGGAGTTGTTTGACAAGCCCAGCATGGAGAGGACCACCCAGATCCGAGCGTACCTGTGGCGACGCGGGTGACGGAGAGGAGTATGCTATCTAGCTGGGTAAACCCCTCCAGGTTCCCTTGTGTGCTGGAGGCTGGGGT